AATCACTTTCCAATTAATATATGTAAACTTTAGAAACCAGAAAATTGCTTTTTAATGAAACTATTATCTGTTTATTTGGAAAAACCATTTATTCACTGCAATGGCAGGAGTTCTTGTTCACTGGCAACTCATTCCCAACAAACTTCAGTAGTCAGATTTTAGTATAAGTTGAATCTGGAATGAATACATACAGTTTTGTTTAAGTCTAAACCAAACATACTTATAAGATAAATGTACATTTGTTCTGGACAGCGATTTTGAAGTGAGCAACATTAAAAGTTCTTTCTGATGCAAATAAACTATGAACTGAGCCCTCTAACCAAAAGCCTTGAATAAATTCAAATCTTCTACCATGATTTGAATACTTCTGGATTCCAGGAAACATTAACCACTAAGAATATAATAATATAACTCAGATACTAATTATCTCCATGGTTTGTTAAACTTAGTTATATTTTAGGTATAAAACTGGAGATGTGGAAGTTTCAAAATTAACACTAAACCTCTGAGACTTTTAAGACTATCTCCACATAAACTGTAAATATTCCCCAGTGTAAATGACTGTATTCATTGCAAAGGCAAGGAGTGAAGACATCTGTCAGGCCAGGTGTCCCTTTTTACCAACAGATTGGAGCCCATCACTTCCCTAGAACTTATAAAAGAATTCCAACAAAGTAGGGATCAAATCAGTAATTTTTTTTTTCTGAAGTTTAGGGCACAACTGGCTTGGTGTAAGTCACTGGGCATTCCTGAGTGAATCATCAGGTCTTCTGGATAGAGACACAGATTCTCTCTGCTCCAAAGAGGGGCAATCAGACACGGAGCTGTCAAATCTATGCTTGGGGGTTGCATCCCATTCAGTCATTGCCATATGTCAAGAGTAAACAATCCTGTTAAACTTATTTAAAAATTCTGTGGACACACACTGTTGGTTTCCTAGCTTTTTGAGGAGAAAGAGTATATAAACTGGTTTCACATTCCTGCTACTGAATAATTATCACAATTAAAAACTCCCAATAGAGGTAAAAGAATAATCACTTCTGAAATAAGAATTTTCAAAAACATAGTTGCACCAACAAGTTTTGTTTTCCACTCATGTACTCATTCTGTTACATCTGGTGAATCCTGCCTCTAGTCAGAGATGACGCTAATATACAATAAGTATTTATTAAATTCTTTCTTTTTAAATCACATTTTATTCCTAATAAGTTTGGACTTCTTGGAAGGGTTAGCGTTACACCCTTTGTAATTTTGAACATCTGCATGGCTGTAAATGTTGCCCTTTTCCCCAGCCCCTCAACTCCTAGTCCTGTTCTCCCTGCTTCCTCAATGGAGGAAGGGTGGATCAAGCTTTCAGAGAATTGATGAGTTGGAAAGGAGAGAAGTAAGCAATAAAAAGCAAAACTTAGGTAGAGGGAGCAGCATGCCCTTAGGAGTCTGCAAAATCTTGGAAGTTCAAGTCTGTTTTGCAATTTCCTTTATCTCTAATTCTATTTGCAAAGTTCCCAGAGCCTCCACCAGGGCCTGCCAGACTATGGTAGCTTATTTATCAACTGCTGAATGACTGAGCAGCTAAGAATGTGCTTTGGATTCTACCAGAGTAAATCCTAGCTCTTCCCAAGTGATTGAGCCTCACAAAGCCTGTTTTCTATCTGTAAAGCGGAGTGATGATCACTAGATTTTGTAATGATTACCTCATAAGATAATAGTAACAATAATAATATTCCTGTGGACTCAATAAGCATAGATAGGGGCTTTGTTTTCATTAACACAACGTTAGTGTTATGGCCATAGAATTAGACAAAGAACAAGGGACGTACAGTTTCTGTTAGATGTCATTTCGGTATCTGTAGGAGTTGTAGCTCTTCCACACAGGAAGAATGTAGAGAAACAATACAGAATTCTGATTACCAGAGTTTGATAATAAAGCTGGGAGAGGTTGTGGGAGAATTATGTAAGGGTAGAATCATTCAGTAAAGTGGCAGTCAAGTAATTTAAAGCAAAAAGTAAAAACAAAGTAATGTCCTATGATTGTTAAATAAATGTGAAATTCAGTTAATAAGTCAAGAAAGTTACCTATAATCTTAACAGGGAGAGAGGAGTTCAATTTATTCAAATCAGGAGGAAAAATTGTTAATGGACTATTTAGAACCCAGACCAGACCCAGTAAATGGACGGTCTAGAACCAGGCCAGACCAGACCCAGAAGAGATCAACTCATAAAAGATATGGATTTAGGGTTCCTGTTGTTACTGTAAGTATTAAAAGGAACTTTGCGTGTTGGTCAGTATCCCAGGGAGAACCCATCTCCTTTCTCAACCAAAGCCTCTGGTAGATATGCAGCCACAGTCTGCTGAAATGGTCTCCCTCCTTGCTTATGACACTATAATTTTTCAGTTGTGGTAAGTTAGTATTTTTAACCCAAAGAAATTTTGGAATAGAGTTACAAAGATTAATAAGTCAAATCTAGATTATTAATACTTTTATATTTCACTCAAAAATGGTTTCTGAAATCAGCGTGAATCTGTACTTATTTGGTGTTTAAAATATTTGCAAGCTTTAAGAAAATGTAGTTATTTAGGTATCTAACAGGTTAGCCTTCTGACATCAATTTAAATGGGTAATGAGTAATTTTAGATTCCTATTGGTAAGCCAAACACTGAAAACAGTACTGAAATCCTTAATAGAACTTAAGCATCACCATTTTTAGAAGTTTAATTTATTAGTCTTACTTGGTGTGGTTTAATATGGAAAGGCTTTTCCTGTTACAGAAATGTAAGGGCTTTAAAAGAAAATTGAATATATTAAATTGATATAAGCATGTATAATATTTAAAGGAAGTTTATTAACTAGATTTGTAACAGAACTGATTGATTAAGGGAGGTTGGTCCATTCAACTTGAGTGGAAGAGATATAAATCAAAAGCTTCCTTGAACATGCTTGTGAAAATTACTAGATTTACAAGTAAAATAGGATTTGTAAATTTATTCACTTGACATATTTATTAAAATTATGTTATGTGTCATGCACTATTCTGGATACTAGTAATATGGCAGGTAACAAAACAAAGGCAAAAAAATGTTTAGGGGCCTACATTCATTAGATTTAAGAGGTTTAAGAAAAAAACTAAGTTGTTAAAAGTTTTGCTTTAATACATTGGCTATTTTAAACAAGTTAGCTATAAAGTCTCTTCACTGCACAAAATATCCCCTAAGGGACACCGAAAAATTAACATTGACAAGTATCTCCATTCATCTCTGTATCATTAGTGCCTAGCTCACATGCAACTCTCAAAACTGCATGGCTTGAGTATTGAATCTTCCCATCTATTGTCTTTCACATCACTCACAAGAAATCTGGGTTAACTAAGACTTTTTTCTGAAAATGCAAATATCTCCAAGGTTAAGGAGCTAGGGGATATTTATATCAAATATAAATATGATGCAATCACATTGTGTTTCTTTTAACATCTGAATTAAGGAATGAAGTTTATGATGGAGGAAAGAAAGGAAAATAATGCTGGAGATGGAAATATTTTTGTGCCAAAAGGAAATCTCTGGTTTGGGGACATCTTAAGGTGCAGAGTCAGGAGTCCTCAGGGTAGTTGGGAAGTGAGGGATATAGAATATTAGTGGTGGAAAAATGAAAATAATTCTCAACTATTTCAAAAACAGGTTCCACCCAGGAAAGAGAAGGAGATGCTTTTTTTGTATTCCCAGGTGATTATTCCCTAAACTCAAAAGTCAAAATTGCTTTGTTAAAAAGTTCCATTTGGGTAAAGAAAACTTGTGCAAACGACCTGGAAATGCAAATGGATGTTGTTGCCGTAGGAAATGTTTCTCAGTTCTAAGCCCATATATAACCAGTCTATTGAAACATGACCTATTTGTAAATCGATCATTATTTTAATAACCGAAACTCACAAAACTACACCCAAGGCAGTTCCAGAAAATGGCAGAGAAGCTACAAAAGCCCAGCAATGGCCTAAACTATGAATTTGCTCTGAACTAAGAACTCACTGAGCTTTGCAATCTATATCCATTTTTCAGCTTCCTCTATCCCAGCAGTCACAATTCATGTGTTGCAAAAGTGCAGGCAGTGCTGATGGCCCCTATGGCATCTCCATCTTCACTGGTTGGCCACCCCCACAATTGTAGCTAATTGCAAATTCCCTACATTAACATTCAAGAACAATTAAAGAGCAAGTAAATGATCTTGGGCAGAATTATATAGTGGTTAACCCCTCAGGCTATAGGGTCGAAAGAACTAGGTATAATTCCTAACTATCACTCCTTGGCTGGATGATCACTGGCAGGTTACTTAACCTCTCTGCACTTCAGTTTCCTCATCTGTAAAATGGGGATTATAATAATACCTACTTAGTGAAGCTTCTGAGGGATTTAAATGAAATAATGCATATACAACATTGTGCCTGACACAGTGAGTGCTCAGACTTACACTTGCACACAGGCTCCATAATTTATAGCAAGTTTCATACAGGAAAACATTTCATATCTTTCACTTCCAGTATGATGTAAGTGTAAACAGTAATTACCAACATTTTGGTTGGCTTAGGTAACGTACAACTTTTTCTCAACACAAAAGAAACCAAGAAATAATCCAATTCCTATTTGGGCCCTTGAGATGTTGAAATGAGCTACAGGCTTATCAACACTATTCTAATCGTTGGCAAAGATTTGGCTGTAACCTAGTGAATGACAATACCATGAAGAGTTATGAAGAAAAAGCACAATGCTCTAAATGATGAATTTTAAAATAATCACTGCCTTTTCAGACATTCAGACCCATACTAGACCAAAATACCACTGAAACAATAATTCCTTCAGAAAATGATTTTTCTAAATAGATCCATATAAACCAGGCTGAGTTATTAAGGGGAAAAAAACGAGTTTAATAGTACAGCATAGATTATCATCCAAAAAAAGTTACTGTAAAAAATGTTTTGAATATTAATTCACTTCTCATAATTTTAGTGTTGTAAATACTTGTATTATAGTGAGGTAGACAGTTAAAAAAACTCTCCATTAGACAGACTTAAAATTTTGTTATAATATTTAAGAAAATGATAACATTATGAAAGAATGAAATATCTGATTAATGCTTAACTTTGTACAACTCGAATATAAACTTTAAAAATATTAGAAATTATAACATTTGAGTGCATATAACATTTTGTACACTAAGATGAATTGCATGCTGTCCATTTCCTCTTTGCACTTTCAGTCACCTTAAATAAACAAATATATACAGCCTTAACAGAACAACAGTGCATCCAAAGCAAATGTGCATTTAAATTATTTCTCCTGGCCAAGTCTTTCTTTTTTTTTTTTTACTTAGCATTTTATATTAGCATTTATTATCATTCTCACCCTTTCTTGGACAGTTTGTAGTTCTCTGAACCAAACAAGTAACAGGTTTAGATGGGGAGAGCAAAACCATGTAGGAAAAACAAACGTTTTTTAATGATCTGTACAAGTTAACTTGTTGAAACCATTTCATGGTCAAAGACGAGAAGGAAGCTAACCCTTCAGAGGACCTGATACTCAAGGACAATGTTTGAAAATAACACTGGTGCAGTCAAGGGAAATGTTCATTTGTGCCAATCTGGGAATGGGTATTAAATTGTGCTGTGCTCTCTCCTGCTTCCTTCTGGAAAATGAGTTCTACCTCTGCCTCCTTCCTCACTGTCCATTCCCCACCTCCCAGGGGAGCTCAATGTAACACTTTGCTCTTTTCACAGTTTCTCATTACTAAGTTTTACAAAGATTGCCTAACTGCTAATTACAATCTGCAATAATTCTTTTGGGGGAGTCCTGGACTATTGCTGGCTGATAATCTTTCAGGAATGTCAGAGAGAGGGCAGGGAACACAGATTTTAAAGAAACTTCAGAGGCAGGGACTGTGTCCCCTTTCATCCTTCTCTCCCTGCTCCTAGCCTGCCCTTTATCCCCATCCTTCTGTGGGGCCCACCACCTCTCCTCCTGACTTTACCTTCTTCTTGGGCCACTTTCCCCTCCTCTGCACCTCTTCCGTTAGTTACATAGTTTCCCATCCATACCCATTTTTTTGTTGTTGTTAACTGGGAAATCACCTTCCCCTTTAAAAGGGATGTCTGAATTTTGGCAATTTCTGTCCAAAAAAAATCAATTAGAAACAGACATGGCAAAGGGTTTTTCCTGGATTACCTCTTGCCTGTAATGCACTCAGCATCAGCCCTGTCAGAGGCCTTGTGGCTTCTCACTGTCCTTCAGGGAATTCCATTCAGACTCATTCTTGTCATTCCACCCATACCAGCTCCCCTTTCCCCACCAGAAAAAGCTACAGTAAAGGCAGTGACCTCAGCCCCCTGAAGGGAGATGCCAGTTGCCAGTTTTGTACGCTGGGAGAAACGAGGGCAGAGCTGGGTATACAAGAAGCAGAAAGGCCCACTTGGGCGCACCTCTTTTAAAGCTCTACTAAAAGCAGGTCCCTCCCTGGCTTCCTTATTCTCTGTGCCACTTCCTCTATTTTAACACTTTCTCCTTGGGAGGTCAGAAGGCATGGGCTATGACATGGCCAGAAAGACCCCACCTTCTTTACACTGGTGAAAAACAAAGCAAGAAATGGGTCAAAGGTGGTTCTTCCTCCCACACAGGATCTCTTCTTAAACTACTGGTTATCCAATACATGGAGCAGTTAAGAAACAGGTATGTGACTCCCTCAATCTCCTGTCAAAACCTGTGAGACACACAAGGAAATCCAAAGCCACTATAATAAAAACTAAAGAAATTCTCCTTGGCATGTTTTTCCAGCATGGCCAGGTAAGGTGTGAAAATCCGTATCTCCTTCTGAGCTGGCAGGTGGAAGGTTCTGGGAAGGCTGAACTCCCTCCTCTCCCACCGGGCTGCACGTCCAGGCTGTTCCCCCACTCTCTGCCTCCTCCAAGGCCAGCTCCTCCTCCACCTCTCAGCAGTCAGGCCTCCCCTAAGGACCCACCAAGGCTGCAGGAACGGCGTCGCTACCTGCAGCCGCAGGACTCTACCACCATGTCCTCGTACTGCTTGTAGACCACGTTATTGCCCGCGTCGATGTACAGGATGCTGATGGGAGTCAATTTGGTAGGCACGCAGCAGCTGGGCGGCGTAGAGCCGGGATCCATGGAATTCATCAGCGTCTGGATGATGGCGTGGTTGGTGGGCTCCAGGTGCGAGCGCAGCGGGAAGTCGCACACGCCTTCGCAGTGGTAGGCCTCGTACTCCAGGGGCGCGATAATCCAGTCGTCCCAGCCCAGCTCCTTGAAGTTCACGTGCAGGGGCTTCTTGCTGCAGCGCAGCCTCGACTTCTTGCCATGCCGCTTGCCGTGGCGACTGGCAAAGGCCGTGCGCCGCCGGCGGCGGCCTGGCGAGGGCGGCCAAGGCCCGGCGTCCGGGGCGCCCGACGGCGGCGGCCAAGACCCCTCGGCTCCTGGGCCTGTGGCCTCAGCCGAGCCCAGCACCTCGCGCATCTCGGCGAACAGGTTCTTGCGCTGTGATCTGGTAAACACGACGAGCAGGGCGCGCTCCTGGGGGGGCCGCACCCTCCGGCCGAAGCCCAGACTCCGCAGGTCGGGGGGCGGCGGCTGCTGGGGCCCTGGCGCGCGCGCCGCGGCCTCCCAGGTCCCGGGCTCACCCCAGGCCGCCCGCAGCTCCAAGCACAGCTGCTTCCAGGGCTGGTAGCGCAGGCCCTGCCACACGTCGAAGACTTCCCAGCCGGCCCGGGGCGCCCCCTGCGGGTCCAGCGCCCGCGCGTCCAGCAGCAGGGGCGACAGACAGGGGAAGAGCTGCACGTGGAGCGGCCCGGCCGGCGGCCCCCAGGGCGCGGTGGGCGCCTGGCGAAAGAGCCGCAGCTCTGCGCCCACCAGCTCTTCTTTGTCTGAGAGTGTGGACACATCAAACAAATACTTCTGTCTCCGGAGAGGAGTGTGAGAGAGATCGTCTGCGAGATAAAAAATAATTACAGTCAGTTTCACTTAAGGGGGAAATCAGCTGGTGCTCTGTGGCTGCCCCCAAGAGGAAGAGGGCGGGAAGCGGGGCAGGCCGGCCGGGAGTCCTGCACGCCAGCCCAGGGCCAGACCGCCCCGAATCCCTGCCCGGTCCGTGCACGGCGTGGGGAGGGATGCACGGGGGCAGGCGCCCTCCTCCCGGTTAGCCCAGGACTCCCAGGGCGGCACTCGGTGGTGACACGGGCGCGGTGGTGGTCTCCCGGGTTTTTCCCAAGAGCCTGCATAACCACTAATGTGCCTTTTGTGGTCTGGAGCCTGGGCCGCGCTTCCCCCAGACCTGCTCTCCACTGGCTCACTCTCAGCATTCGCATCTCGGTTCAAACGTCACCTCCTCCGACAGCCCATTCTCCCATCCTCGACCACCCTGACCTAAAGTAGCCTTCCTTGGTCACCATCACAGGACCCTTGTTTTTTAACCTTCCCAGCACTTAGCACCATCTACAATGATCTCTTTTACTTTTGTCTCCTTAATGGTCTTTCCCAGCAATACGCGCCGCCCCCCACCCCGCCACCACTATCACCACCGGCCACAGGAACTAGAACCATGTCGAGTCCATCTTCCGGGCCGCAGTTGCTACAGCCGTGCCTCACCTAGAGTACACGCTGTTCAGTAAGTGGGAAACTTCTAGAGCAGTCATTTCTCAATACGCTGTCCCGTTGTAATCTGGAGAACTATAAATTACCAGTTCCAGGCTTGCTTCAACTAACTCAATCTGTATCTGAGGATGAAGCCTGGGAGTTGTTGTTTTTTGTTTGTTTGTTAGCTGTTCTTTTCTTAAGTTCCAAAATGATTTGAAGGTGCAGCCCTAGTTTAGACTCAGTGGTCGGGGAGAACGTTGCTGCCCTTTAGGAAATTTTGCTGAAGCATTTAAGCCCAACACAGAATTTATACAATGAAGAGCTGTTGTGATTTATTTCTTTCTTTTTTAAATTCCCCAACCATTTAACAACAAACAAAAAAAGCAAAGAGGCTTTTCAGAAGTGGGGGAGTAGCAAATGAACCAACGCACCCACTAAGCTTCTACCTGTTGAGAAGATGCTGCAGAAATTAATGCATCAGTAAAGAGAAAACCTCAGACACACACACACAGTGACATTCTCTGCTCCTCCACCCACCCAATCTGAAATCTTCCTTTGTAATTAACCTGAAGAAAAAATTTGGGGTTACAAGTGAGATAAAGAAATGTGGGGCTCATGGTGGGAGGGGATAGCAGGCCTTTAAAATCCAAGGCAAATTCTTTGGGACCAAGGCAAAACTGGACTTCTTTTCTGACACATTTGCATACGAAGCTAACCCCTTTCCAATGTGCAAGGCAGAAAACTAACCAGATTTTCCTGGGCTGCCTTCTCATAAAATATTTACAACCCAGCAAATACAAAAATCCCCAAAGCTCCCAGTTTTCCCCAGAAGCCAGTAAAGTTTGGGTCAATTTCAATAGTAAAAGTACCACTGAGTCCCAGTCCGACCCTCACTGCCTGTCCAGATGTAGCCCCAGGGCACTGGACCTGCAGCTTCAGCCGCAGCTAGTGCACACTCCAGGCTGACGGCAGTGCTGGCAGCCTCACTCTAACACACGTCCCAACCTGAGATGGAGCTGTGGGAAGGGTTAGAGGGGTGAAAAGGGAAAAGCTGCTGGAGGCAGTTGATTTATGGAAGCCAAGACCTTCAAACAGACCAGGTCACATTAAAATCAGTGGGAATTCAGCACACTTTCTTCTCTTCCTTTAAAGAAACCTGTGTTTGACAATGCTCAGCCACCACCCAGATCTCTGGACCTATCGCATTAGGCTTCAACTTCCTGCCTCTCCTATTTCTCTCTTTCCAAATTCAAGATGTGATGAGAGGGGCAAACTTAAGGCACTTTCTGCACCAGCTAAATGGTGTGACAACTGACACAGGTTTCATCCTTACTTCATCCACAAGCACAGAACAGTTCTGTAAGGTGAGTATGCATATTATTCCCATTTTACAGATAGGAAAACCAAGGCCTGGAAAAATTGATTTAATTTCCTATGTCTGACAGTGAGTAAGTAGTAAGGCTGAGATCCAAACCTAGGTCTATGTATTTTCAGAGTTGGAGCATTTAGCCCCAAAGTGCCATTGCCTCTCCACTATGGACCGGCTACTGGGTTCCAAAACCAACCAGGGTGTACAGGATGGGAAATATAGTTCAAACTGTGTTTGCAGGACTTGCTAGGAATAAAACCTGGGTTCCCTAAAGAAATCACTTCTGTCTCTGCTTACATAACTCTTGAGTAATTTGTCACTGGCTGGAGCACATTGGAGGAAAGGATAATGGTTTGTTTATTTCTCTCATGCAGCATGGATACATCAACCTGCTTTTGTTTTTATTCTTTTTTTTAAGTGTGAGCTAATAAATGGTTAATCTGCACAGTTGAGCCAAATTTCTGTGGTCCCTGAGAGTGGTCAAAACAGAGAAAAGCATCTAGAGAGAGAGGGCTATAGTGATTCTGCAGCCTTTGGATTTCTGATGATCTTTTAGCAAGGTCAGCTCATTCTTACTCTTTCTAGGGCTCTGGGAAAGAGCACAAATGGGGGCTTCAACCTGTATCCTACTGCCTTTTCTTCCCATACCAGTTCTATCCCATGGTCTGAGGGGCCTCACTGGTGTAAATGTGGGCACCCTTGCCCATGGGTCCCAGCTTCCCAGACTACAGGTGCTCACCTGGGAGGTGTGATACACTCTTAGGAGGGTAGGCCCAATGAAGAAGCTGCCCAGGCCTTGGAAGTGGGCTTAGGGCTGCTGGGCAAGAATTCTGGCTCAGGACTACACTAGAGTAGTAACTCTTAAAGTCACTAAATTTGTAGTGGTCCCTAAATCTGCATTGGCATCACACATGAACTTTTTAGAAGCACAGATTATCCTGGGCCCCAGAGGTCTGTGGTAAGGCCCAGAATCTGTGTTTCTCCTAAATTCCCAGGTGGTGCTGATGCTGATTGTCTTGGCCTGGGATTCCACTGTAAGAACCACTGATCTACATGAACAGATCCCCTTGGCTCTTCAGGTGCCGGGTGAACACCGCACTATTGGAAGTGGGACAAAGTAGGGCCCTCCAAAGCACAGTACCCAGGGCAGGTTCTAAGGCAGTACTCACCAGGACCAAGTCACAGTCACTCCCAAAGACTGCCTGCCCCCACAACCACACCCACATTTTTTTTATTTTTTTATTTTTATTTTTTTACTTTCAGCCACATGTACTCTCACTGGGTCTCCAGAACCGTGAACCTCTTAAACAGAGGGTCCAAGATGCTGGCTGCTCTGTGTAGCTTCCTACAAATCACATTCCCCACCTGTCTGGACCTGCTCTGGAGCCATGTACCACAGAAATAGCCTAGAGGAGTCATCCAACTTGGGGAGTGCTTGCTTATCATCCGCTGTGACCCTGAAGACGCTTTGCCTGTTGACTGGGCATCACAAAGCCTGGCCCTGCTGCCCTGGCGCACTGTGAGTAGGAGGCTGACCCTTCACACTCTTCCACAGCCTCTTCTCCCATTAAGTCCTGCGTAAATGAGAGCAGATGAACCAAATGACCCTCTCTCCCTCAATGATCCTCTTGACTAGAAACATACACTTTTGCCTGGATTTGTGGCATTTTCTTATATATTATGCTTTAGGCCTTAAAACTGAAATTGATCAGTAATAAGTCATGGGAGCTTTTTATTTTGCTTTAACTTGTATCAACCTCTTTTATTACAGCTTGGCTCACACCCCAGTTAACTCAGTGTTGAGTAGTAGACATTCAGACCTTTCAAAATACAGTTGTTGGATTTGTGCTTATAACTATTACTTGAGAATGGGTAGTTAGAGGAAGGAGCCTCAGGAGAGGAGAAGGGCAAAACAAACACCTGTATATTTGTAGAAAATTCTTCATGATAGGTCAGCCTTTTTAAGTTAAGAGCAAGTCGGTGAAAGGCTGAGGACATCTCTAACATGTACATCTGGTGTGAAATTGATAAATTAAAAATGAGAATGAGAAAAAGAACTAATCACTTGTAAATTAGGGACTGTCACTCCCATTTTAGATAGCTTTAGAAAGGCACAGTCATCTATGCAGGGAGACAGTAGTTGGGGGGCTGGAGGAAGCTGAGAAGCAAACACCAGATGGGAAAGGAAAGGATGTCCTGAGCCCCAGCAGGGAGGCTCTAGGGAGGGACACGCAGTGGTGCAGTGGCGGGACACACAGTGGCGCAGTGGCGGAAAACGTGCCTCTGGGGGCGGCTCCCCTGGGCCACCCTGCAGGCTGGGGTTAGGCCTGGGAAAGCCTGCCCTTAAGTTTTTCCAAGCCATCTCCGAGATATGCATGCAGCTTGAGGTCTTAAGGGTCCTAATTGGGTTTCCTGTCACTCACTGCCCCGGAGGTGCCACCGAGGCTCCAGCTCCCGAGAGAGCTTCGTGCCACAGACTGAGTTACACGAAGCTCCTCAGAGCGCATCCTGCTCTCATCTCCTGAATTTCGCAGCGACCCTGGATCGCCTCTGGCCAGGCGTCTAGCAGGTCCCACCCATCTCTATCCGCTGTCCAGCCACACGTCCCGCCCCATGCCCTCTGAAGGCACAGACCCTGCGACTAGATGGTGGCTCATAAGGCCAAGATGGCAGTGGACTTTCCCATCCACCCACCTCCAAGGCAGTAGTGGGAGAGATGGGGATAGTCACCCATCTTCACAAGGGAACTCCAGCCGTCTTTACACTAACCTCTCCCCTCCACTCCCTCATTTTTGAGCCAACAGCAGCACTGAACGTTTGTCATGCCCACCTTTGTGGCAGGCACGTGCCTGGGCTTCGACGGCTTCTGTCCCTGGGTCCTCACCGCCAGCGTCGGAGACCCACCCAACCACTGCACTCATTTATAGATTAGGACACTGGGCTCTAGGAAGTATCATCGGTAGCCCAGTGTCTTGCAACTAGTAA